ATTCTATTCTATTCTATTCTATTCTATTCTATTCTATTCTATTCTATTCTATTCTATTCTAGATTTTCCCAGTTACTGCTTCTTACATAGATGCTTGCATAGATGTGTTTTGTGTAATAGCAATTATATCAGTTGTGCAATATCTAAAAGAAGTCTAAAACAATAATTTACAGATTTGGGACACAAAAAGTGCAAATATCACATCTCTGTACAATTCCTTAGATTGCCTGCATATTTTCCCAAGATCTTATTACTGTCCTTCACAGATAACATGCAATCCTGGAATAGAAATGTTTCAGGAACTGCTGCAATGTTTACAACATAATGTTCTCTAAAGCCCTACACAGCCCTCTTAGAGACCCTAATAACTTTATCAAATGTTACCTAGAGAATTCTGGTACTTGTTATTCAACACACCTGTAGGGCTGACACTGGAAATCATGTCTAGATTCTATTTCCATGAGCTATGCCTTCTCAACATCCTTATTAACCAGCAGTGGTATAAAATATTCTACTACACAAGTCAAAAGATTATCTATTCCTTATTTAGAAGCCATCCAAATTTGGCTGAAAGAAACAATAGGACTGAGTTAGTGCCTCCACTAAGATTTAAGGGCAGACTGCGTAGCATATACTGTATGTCATTTGTTTGCCAATATTTATTTAAGCCCTATCTTAGGAGGGCATGCAGTCTCTAAAGTAATTGTTCTGTTGTTGGGAACAACCCTTTTTATTGTTATAGAATATCTGCAAAGTATTAAGACCAGGAGATAAATTTTGCTATACAAGATAATTGGTATTAATGAAGTAGTATATAAGGGCTCTGCCATTTTTCATGTCAGGGTTTTTTACATTGCATTCCATAAACCCTAATATTCCCAAAAAATAATGTAGTTCAATGACAAACTAGCAACAACAACAAATTTGAATGCAGACTTCCATCCAAAGCAATTAAAAGCAGTCATATCCCAATTGTTGAACATTGATTTGTTTGGTTAAAAACATTAATGTTCCAAAATAATTATGAAATTTAAGTTCCATACACTGGAGGCATTATCTTTGCATACTATACTTAATATATGTGAAATAAGTGGAGGAACTTTCTGAGAAAGAAATTGGACATCCATTTTTGTGAAATTCAAATAACTTTAATATATAAATGTACATAAATAAATTATAATAAGCATAAGTTTCACTTTATTGCTAATTTATTTATTTTATTTTATTTGGTTTGTCAATTGCTTACAAGATAATAGGTATAAGTAAAAACATAGTTATGAATACATGGATACATATAAGAAAAATAAAAGAAACAATAGGACAGGGATGGTAGGCACATTGGTGCACAAGTCCAGACATTGATCACTCGGTTGCTGAAGTCGTATTTCCTGCAATCTAGTTTGGTGAGATTAACCTTGAGTTTGTATCTATTGTTTGCTCTTGTATTGTTATGGTTGAAGCTGAAGTATTTGTTGACAGGTAGGACATTGCAATGTATTATTTTATATACTATACTTAGATTAGACCGAAGGTAGTGTAGTTCTAGGTTTTCTAGGTCTAGAATTTCAAGTCTGGTGGCATAAGGTATTCTACAACGAGTAGAGGAGTGGAGAACTCTTCTTGTGAACTCTTCCTGGACTTTCTCAACTGTGTTAATGTCAGATACGTAATGTGGGTTCCAGACTGATGAGCTGTATTCGGGTATTGGTCTAGCAAATGTTTTGTATGCTCTAGTTAGTAGTGTAATATTACCAGAGAAAAAGCTATGTAAGATTAGATTAACAACTCTTAATGCCTTTTCGGCTATGTAGTTACAGTAGGCTCTAGCACTTAGGTCATTAGAGATGAGTACTCCAAGATCCTTGACAGAGTTTGGATCATCAACAAGATCTTGACTATTCAGCCTGTATTTTATTTTCTGATTTTTTTTGCCAATATGTAAGGCAGAGCATTTATTTGTTGAGATTTGAAGATGCCATTTGTTTGACCAATCTGATACATAGTCAAGGTCTTTTTGAAGGGTAGCAGTATTGTCTGTGGTGTTGAATAGCTTTACATTGTCAGCGAAGAGAACACAGTTGCTCTTAATATGATCACAGAGGTCATTTATGTAGAGTATGAAAAGAGTTGGTCCTAGAACACTGCCTTGGGGGACACCACTGTTGACAGGTACAGAATTTGATAGGACGCTCCCAATTTTGATCATTTGTTGTCTGTTTGACAGGAATGCTTCTATGCAGTTATAATTGTTATAATTATTTCTCATTAAGGTTTTGTATCTTGATTATGAATTCCAGAATTTTTTAACACATTCCACAGCCTGAAAAAGTAAAAAAACAAAAACAAAACCCTGACCTGTATCATTGCATTTTTCCACTCCATCCCTTAGCCTCCCTCTTGACCACCTTGATAACCTCAGATGCCACGGCTTTTTATTCCTTTCACAACTGATTTTGTAAGAAAAACATGCTATCATAATTGTTGACTAAAACAGATTGAGCATCCTGGATCATCTGAAACATATTTCTTGACCTGCACATTTACTATAAGTAAATCATTGAAAACTGCTGAGTGAACAATGGAGAAATAGAAAGGAAGTGCTATGCTTCTTAGCTCCACTGAGAAATTACTCTCTTAGTAAGCTGGTATTTCATCTACTACAATATAGTCTTTAAATCCTTCCAATATATACATACATTCATGCATACATTCATACATACATACATACATACATACATACATACATACATACAGCACCTGTGATTGTCAGAAGAGTGAATTGTTATGCAATCTAGTAGAAAAATAACTATCTGAAAACTGTAAGGTCTAACAGTACCAGATCTTTACAAGATTATACAAAGTGGCAGATTAATGGTATTCTTCTTCCATTAGTGGAATAAAATCCCTGGATCCCAGAATAAGTTACTCGAACTAATTAAAATGTCCTGAAATTGAATTCTCAATTAATTAAAATGTCCTGAAATTGAATTCTCAACAACTTTTTCTTTAGTTTGAATTATTAAGCAAAGAAAAACAGAACAAAAAATATTAAGGAGATGAAAGAAGGATAAAGGACTATTATAGCAAATGGCCTAATCCTACATTGGGCAGAGTGAAATGATTGCCTCCAGTTCAAATGCTGAAGAAAAAAGAATGACAATAAGGTTTGGAGGAGAAATTGTTTCATGAAACTTGTGCCCTCTAAACAGCTGTCTGTCTCCAGGGTTAGTGGCCTTCCTGGTGTTGCAAAGAGACCCAGTGGCTGAATCATTCAGCTTTTGTACAGGGAATTGAGACTTTTTCTCTTTTGCTTCAGGCAATGAAATGTCCTCAATTGGTCCTTACCGCAAAGCCCATATTTGCAGTTTATAGCATTCTCAAAAGAAATAAAGTAAATGACATGTAGTCTTATAGCATATTCATGTAAGTACTTTCTGAAAAGTAAAATCAAGACAATTCTCTGGGATTTTTTCCAAGAAAGTAGACAACAATTCAGAACTTTAATTGGGTTATACTATACTCTAGTCTGATGTAACAATGAAGCAGCTAGGTTCCTCTCCCTTTCTGAAAATCCAAATGGTAACTTTTTTATGATTCTCTGGATTTTGAATTACGTAATGCACAGGTTGTAAAGTACACAGTGTACTGCCCAACAAGGAACTAAGATCAACAAAACCAGGAAGCACATGTTCTCCCTAATGGGCCATAATTGGAGAAATTAATGAAATTATCTTCAGATTCATATACTAAAGAGGCAGTCCATTAATGCAAATTACATTTTGATAATGGTTGCAGGGACTACACTATCTAGAATCCGAGACATCTGAGGCAATTTCCTCAAACAAAAATATGTTTTTTAAAAATATAGAAATAGGGGAAATTATGTGAGGTAAATGTCTTTAAAATATTAAGCACTTGATTATGAAAACAAAAAATAAACTGTGCATAAACCTCATGAAGCAGTACAATTCACATATCCTAATATCTTATGACCAAATAAATAACATATTTTGGAGCAGTATTGTACAAGTCAGTTATCTAGGTCTTTGACAGATATGATGACTAAAGAGAATCATACTTAATTCATTTAATTAATATAAAGGCAAATCAAATCAGACTGTCCTGAAAGATGAGGCCAAGAAAAAGAATGAAATCTGTTGTCTTGCCTTCATTTGTTGGAGTACTGCTTAAGGATTAAAGATAGCCTTTCACCCAACAAGTATTGCATAATGCTACTTTAAGGCACATAAAGCTAGAAAGCTGTGCCACTGATGCCAAGAAGTTCTTTCTCTTTCACGCAGTACCAAAATTTTGCTCATGTACTAAAATTCTGTTATTCTTCCCCATGACAGTGAACATGAGTAATGAGATTCAATAGGACATAAACCAAAACTGGGGGGGGGGGGGGGGGGATCCAGGACCAAATGATAGCATTAAAAAAAAATGTGGAAGAATTTCCTTTTCAGTCATCTGACTATGCAATTATATTACTTACAGAGCCTTTTAACTGATCACTATAACTGGGAAGGGGTCATTTCTCCATCTATGGATTATTATTCTCTCTTGGATTTGGGTACAGTTATAAATCTCATTTGCTTGAGTACTGAAAGGTCTTTCTATTTTCCAACTATCATAGGCACTGTTCAATTTTATTTTTTATGATTAATATCATACTTTCCTGCCTGAGCAGCGCAGTGGCCTAGAGGTGAAGACATTCACCTCCCACTCAAAAGGTTGAGAGTTCAATCCTAGTTAGAGACAGATGTTTCTCTATCAGGGTGCAAAAAGAAAATATCTGCTGTGAACTCCACTTAGGCATCAGGAAGTGCATCCAGCCTATAAATGCTGAGCTCTGCTCAATTTCCCCAACTCCACCCCAAAACAAAAGAATTAAAAGGTTGTAAAAAGAAAAAAAATCATACTTTCTCACCCATAAAGAATTCAAGTTAACCTATAATCAGGTTCTAGTTAAGCTGATTTAACAGAATTGACAATTTGATTGTATTTCTATTTTAATTTAACCCATCATCTAAAGTCACTGGTTGAAATGAATAGTCACATAAATTAAATTAATAAAATAAATAAATAAAACAGTTTTCTTATAAGTTATAGTTTATAAATACCCTCTCACCTAAACTGAGACTCCGTGAGTTTAACTAAAACTTTTATATTATTGAGAGATGCTATCACAGCAGAATTTTGAAAGCCTGTGTTTTCCTTTTCTTTCTTCTTATACTATAGTGAATTAAGGTGAGCCAGCCAATCTGGAGCTCTTTCTTATCCTTTCTGTTTCCTGGGCTTAAAACATGCTTTTGATTTTGTACCTATTTCTACATATTTCCTCCAAGATCATCTCTGTACTTGTCTACATTTAGTCCCTGTATGCCAAGAGAGTGCCAAGGAATAGGCTAAGCTAGATTCTAGTAAGAGACCATTCAACAGGACAGATTGCAATGGTCACTGCAGAGAAATGTTGCTGGACGTCAAGCTTTCTGACCTGCCCACAAAGTGGGGAACTGACAGCAAGTTTTCCAGAAAGGGATACATTGGATAGATTGATGGTGATTGAAGAAGGCAGTTCTGCAGGTGAGTAGGCACCCTGCCATACTGGATTTTATAGATTTATAGATTAAAACAGTGCCATGAATTGCACTCAAAAACCTACTATCAAATAATGACATACATGCAGGGATAGTAGGACCTCTTGAGGCATAGTAATGTTGGTAAGAGAGCTATGGTGAATGAAAAACCAATTCAATCTTCTATGGGCTCAGTGCTGGTTTATTTAAGACCCTAACATTCCTATTCCTATTTCAGATTCCATTCCTAAGAGGTCTGTAAGGGGTGTGCACAAGTGCACCATAATGCCTACCGTCCCTATCCTTTTGTCCCCATTTATTTATACCTATTTCCTGTATTCTTACTAATGTTTATACTTATACCTACTATCTTGTAAGCGATTGATATATATATATAAAAATAAAAATAAAAATAAAAAAATAACAGCATCTACACCAAGACAAATAAAAATAAAATAACAGCATCTACACCAAGACAAATTCCTCATGGAAGCCATGATCTCCATAGCCTTATCATCCAGAGTCCGCATGGAGATTGAAGTTACCTAACATTATAAAGACAAATGGAATCAAGACCAGGAATTTAGTCAGGGACACTGAGTTAAGTCTGACTGCATCAACTATGTCATTGGAACTGAGGTAGTTAATTGGGGCAAGGTCAGTAGCAAATTTTGATCACGTTGAACAGCAGCATGCACTTCTGCATTTTCATATTCAGATACTGTATATCTGTCATTTGAAGGGCATTATTCAATTCATCATTTGCTACTTCCACTGCCTGAAAGATACTTTAGGCAAAGGGTGTCCTTTTCTGCTGCTCTATTTGTTGTAAGAGCTTCACTGAATCTCCTATGCATAATCCATTGCTTTTAGCCTAGAAACGAACAGTAAAAATAAAATAAAAAGATTTGATGGAATGGAGCAAGATGTTCAGATTTTATCTGGCGCATCAAAGGTAGCCTTTAGACACACGAACACATGCGCAGGCACATGCAAGTGTTCTGAATTCCATTGGTTAAAATATTGCGCAGCAGCAGCTTAAAACCTTGATATTGTCACACAGCATTAAGTGAAGAATCACATACACGCAGCAAAAGTACTGCTAATCTTCCATGTTGATAAGTAAAGCACAGCCAAATTTCTACTAGCTATTTTCTCTAGATTACTTGACTTAACTGCAACCTCCTGAACATCGTAATCATTCTTTTTGACATAAATTGTCTTCTCTAGTAATAAATATTTAGGACAAAAGAATATTCTCACACAGAATAGTTGCCCTGCTTCTAATTTAAATTGCATAATCACAATGGAAAAATATAGCCGATATACATGGCACCCTACATGCTATTCTAGTTAATTCAAATAAATTATGCTTAAATTAAGAAATTTACTATGAAGAAAAGTAGAGACAACCCGCATCCATAGGATTGGGTTTCTTATCCAGATTGGAAAAAGGAAGGATTCATTTCTTTCTCAAAGTGGTTTGGTCCGGTTGTCATTTGTTCCAACAAAGCAATTCATATGCAAAATCCATCCACAACATATTATTTTCATCAAGAAACCTAGCCATATAAGGTTCCAGTCTAGATTTCTTTTCAAGTTCTCATACTGATTATAATCTTTTTTTAAGAGGGAATATATTACAATATAAAAATGCATAAATAAAATGTGATTTGATTGTTCCAGATTCATGTTCATGTCATTTTGATTCTTACCTTTAAAGCTCTTCATGGCATGAATCCAGATTATCTGAGGAACTATTTAACTCCAATGGGATTGGCCTTTCCCACCCGGCAGAAAAGGCATATGAAGAGCACCCCCATTGGTCAATTCTGGCTGGCAGGGTCCAGGAGAAGAGCCTTTTCCGTTATGGCACCTACCCTCTAGAACATAATGCCCTTCTGAGGTGATATCTGCACCCACCCTTCTGGCCTTCAGAAAGGGCCTGAAGACCTGGCTCTGCCAACTGGCCCAGGCCCTCAATCATTCAGAAGGTGGTTAATGGACCAAGATAAGACCATACGTCCTCCTGTCTGCATCTTGCTCCCTTCCTCCCCATCTTTGTCCATTTTGAATTACATTTAATGTTACTATTTATTGTTTTAATGTTTTATCTTGGCATTTTAATAATCATAAACCACACAACTTTAGGAGAGATGGTGTCATATAAGTTTAATAAATAAAGTAAATAAATTGTATATTATTTATGGGTTAAATTAGAGCTACTATTCCTGCATGGCAAAAACATAAATAACCTCTAAATAACAGGAGACAGATATAGAATTACTACCATTAGCAACCACCCAATGGTTGTCCAACTTTCTGCACTATAATATATTTTATTTGAACAGTACTTAATACTTTTAATTTTATATGTACACAATTACAACCCCCACCAGTCATTGCATTGCTTTATTCTATTGTATTGAATTTAGATTCAGGGAATTGAATAATGCCTGAATGCATTAAAGTAGAGTTCAAGGGAACAGCCTATTCGTGAGCTTGCACTCTTTTGCACATATTCTAGAATTATCTATTATAAACCCTGTGTCACTTTAATATATGCTTTCTGTTAGATTCGGGATGAGAATGGAAGTGAAGCCAGAGTGATTTCAGCAAAAGCTTTTTATTTAATTCATACGAACAACAGCAACAGCCTGGCTGATAATGCACCATTTATAGGGAGCTGTCAGCCGGTCAACCAATCAGAACAAAGTATTTTCCCACTTCAGCCGCAGACCTGAGTGAGAACATCAGCCACTAACTTCAGTTACTAATTTCAATACGTAACACTTCCTTTATAAGGAGTCTAAATATATTGAAATGTTGCAATAGAAATGGAAATAGCATTTAGACTTTATACACTGCCCCATAGTGTGTTACAGCCTTCTCTGAGAGGTTTACAGAGTCAGCATATTGCCCCCAACAATCTGGGTCCTCATTTTATCAATCTTGGAAGGGTGGAAAGCTGAGTCAACCTTAAGCTGGTCAGGATCAAAATTCCATACTGGGCAGAGTTAGCATGCAATACTGCACTCTAACCACTAGGGCATAAATGGTACTGTAACTGGTGATCATCACATTTGCTTATTATTCTGTTCTGTAAACCATCAGAACTACTAAAACATTGTATGCATTTTATTGTTTGTAATCTTCAATTGGGCAAAACAGTGCGTCATAGGGCAACATTTTTTGAATCAACATACCTCAAATGGGCTACCTTACAGGAGCCAGGACTCCCATGAAATTGAAACTTGGCAAAATTGCAGCTGCTTCAGTGCTACCACACTGCACATAATCATTTCTGATGCCAAGGAAAGTCAGCAGGAATCTGGCAGAAAGTTGGAAATCCCAGGTCATCAGGAAGAAAAGTGGCTACTGCTGGGTGGGCAGTGTGCAAGAGTTTAAGCAGGTGTGAGAGAGAGATTGTGCAGGTCAAGAAGGATGCACAAATGTGCCACATGGATCAGGGAGAATGCATGTGTGGTTTAGGTTAGGGAAAGTAAGCAAGGGTGCATGGAGTACATGGAAATTCATGAGGATTCAATGTTTTCTGATGCTTGCAAGTTTCATCCTCCTAATTTTCCCTCAGAGCCATCACTGATGCACGTTTTATAAGTCTACCCTAATAGTTTTAACCCATTTCAACAAAGTGTTTTTCACTGGAAAGGTGGAGTAGTTCTCCTTCTCAGGAAAGGCCAGCAATGTGTTTGTCTTGTGTAAGGCACTTTGCTCACCCTACAGAGTGAGCAATATGCCTTATGGAAGACAATGGGGAAGGAAAAGCAGATCAAGAGTGCTATCAGAGAATGAAGTTTTTGTGGTCACAAAACAACTGAGATAGTTAAGGCAACATCCAATTTAGTCACAGAGGGTGAATAAAAAAAAATTATGTGCTATATGAAACAGAGCAATAATTAGATTATTTTACCAAGCAAGTTGTTTTGCCAAAGGTGAAATCCTAAATGGTAATGAAGTCTGACTTGATTAATTTATACAATGAAGCATGTTGAAATTATCTGTGCAAATCCTTCATTATGGATATATATACAGAATCTGTATATATATTACAAGCTGCTCTATGACCATAATAAAGATTTGACTTGATGTACATCTATTAAAAATCCAGTTATGCATTTGACATAGTTTTATATTGTCTTTGAAGAACAGTTTCATTCCTGTTTTACAGGCTAGAAAAACAATGCTCTTAAAGGCACACTATCTATGCAAATAGGAAAGATAGAATGCACAATATAATTCAATATAATTATTTCAACCATATTTAGAGTGACTTTGAACTGCAGTTTTAAAATATAGCAATACAGATTCTGAATTCAATATCATCCCCAGTCATCCCATATTGTTCCATTTTATTTTTGAAAGTTAATGTAGCGTAGTAGCTAATACCACAATTTTACATGCAGTTGCTGAGAAGTCCATTAGTGGGTAATGGGATGATTTAAAAGTGCTTGTCATTAACTAGGATACCTCATATTAACCATAAATGCACCTTGGTTGCTTTAGGCAACCAGGCTAAGTAGCAACTGCCTCGTATTTGTAAAATGGCTAAAATGCTATAAATAGCTGTACATGTGTCAGGTATAATATTTGGGAAACACTTTGAATAATCACTTAAATATTATAAAATTATAAATATTATTATTGCATTGTTTGATGTAGTGCCTAAAACACCATTTTGTCAATATAAAACTCAAGACTTTTTTTAAGGTCTCACATCAAAAATAAGGTTATTTATTTCTATTTATTTATTTAGAAATTTTATTTTGCCACCTACACGCGCATGGCAAGTAAAGGCATCAATCTATGAACAGATTAAGACTTCACAGAAAATTTTAATTCTGATTAATGCTATTCAATTCTTATAAGCAGAAGTGTTATTTAAAATAACCAAGAACACAATGGCTAATAACTCATTTCTGAGGTTACACTGAAATAATAGTTTTAAAAAGACCAAAGCAAATTAGAAAATTAGTTTGTATCAATCCTTAAAAGAATCATTAGTAAGCTCATTTAAAAATATGGGAAACTGACTTACATTTCCCCAAAGCTATTTCCACTGAACATGAGTGGTGATTAGATGCCACTTAAATGCTATATTAGTTAAAAGTGACCTAATGAATGTATCATGATATAATTTATACAGAAGGACCATAAAGAATGTTCTTTTCTCTTGCACTTAAAGATATAAGAATGATTTAAACTTTTTAAAAATCAGAATAAATCTTCTTGTAGTTGCATAATTGCATCCATTCTACTTAGATTTGCTTACCATTAGACTTCTAGACTTTTTCTTGCAACCTGATATTCTTCAGGGCTACAGCAATGAACAGAACTCAAGGAATTTGGTTGCTAAGAAAAATTATCAGAATTTTCTCTTTCAACCCTATCTCTGCAGAAAGTTTCTCTAAACATTCTCTGGAGTGTGTGTGTGTGTGTGTGTGTGTGTTGTGTTTGGGTGAGAGGTGGGTGACAACTTCATTCTACCCACCATTACCACAAAATCTACTGGAAAAGTATGAAATCTGAGTTGAAATAGGGAATGCAAAGCAAAATGCGGGACAACATCTTATAAAATATTAAGAAAAAAACGGGATGTATATTGCCCAAACTCCAGGCTTTTATCACAGGTTCTTTTGAATTTAGAAGCAATATTCAATACTTCTAGCTTTATTCCAGGTCAGTATAATAACAACATGAGATTATAATCAAATGATTTTAATAATGAAGAATATTTTCCATTCAATTTTGTCCAGGTCTCACAGATCACCTGGAGTTTCTTTGGCAATTTTTTTCAGAAGTGTTTGCCATTGCCTCTTTTCCAGGTTTGAGAGAAAGTGACTGGTCCATAGCATAACCCATGGCAGCATTTAAACAATATGAGAGACCTGGAAAGGGATTCCCTTACTTCTGCCAGTCAGTGTACCACAAAAAAAAATGATGTCATATCCTTTCCAAGTCAATAAATGTCCATAGTCTCCAAGTTTGTATAGCCTCTGAATCATAATCAAGCAAACCTGATTTTCATTGGTCTCATCTTTCCTGAATTTTACCAGGAACAGGGAAGACAAGTATACCTTATCTTGGAATGCTCCCCTGCCAAGAATGAAACCATCAAGGCTAATATAATGGAATGTGCTGACAGCTAAGGAGTCTATTTATACCAGCTGGCCAATGATTCTATCCCAAGTTAAGGAGTTTCTCAAGGTTAACTGGATTAAAGATGAGAAAAATCATCCTACCTGCACAAATGTCTTTCCAAGGGCAAGGCAGACCAACTATAAACAAGTATGACTAAAATAAATGCTTAATTCTGCATTATGCTGCTAAACTGTTATGTGAATATGTAAAATCATATAGAAGTCTATATGCTATGCACATAAGGGAAAGAAGTAAATATCACTAATCAATGTGTCCTCATTAATCTTCTGATAGGACTACCAGCATTACAGGGTGAGGAAATAAATCATGCCAGTTATGGTGAGGCTCACTTGGAGAATTTCTTCTGTTTTTGAAGAACATTTTGTGAAAGGCTTAGAACGCTCCATTTTATTTTTGCAAATAAGAGGGCAACATCTCTATTCCAAGTCAAATATGAAGAAACCATTACAATTAAGACCCAATAACTGTAAGAGTAGAAGTAGGATATCTAGATCTTGTTTGGGCCATAGTTTAGGGTCTTGTGTCTTCTGTGTGTGTCAAAACAAGCTCATACAGTTTCTCCCCTTAGTGTTGTTTCTTCATGAATATCACATAGGAAATGAGTAAACAGGTACATTGCATAAAAATCATATTGTGGGATAACACTAAAATAAACTTCATCTCAGCCTGATCCCCACCAACAAATTAAATCCTTCAGCCCAGCATTAGGAAAAACTGAATGAACCCAGCCAAGAGTGAAATATTTGGGAGAAGGTAAGAGTGATAAAAAAAAATCAATATAATGGAAGCAGCATATGTTTTTAAAAAGTGGGTTGAAGTTTGGATTGTGCAGTTGACTTTTTTGGCCATTCCTGCAGGAACTTTTAAACTCAGTTTCCAAAAAGTGAATTTATTTTTATTTATTTATTTATAATTCACCTTTATTATTTTTAAAAATAAGGTGGTGAACATATCCATCATACCTTCCTCTCCTATTTTCCCCACAACAACAACCCTCTGAGGTGAATTGAGCTGAGAAAGAATGACTGGCTCATGGTCACCAAGCTGGTTTTCATGGCTAAGGTGGGACTTGAACACATGGCCTCCCACTTTCTAACTTAATCAAATTGGCTCTCGTTCCCTGAGATTTCTGCACAGCAGTGCTCTATGAAGCAATCTGTGGTATATATTCCTATACTTCCTATACAACCTTTTCCTTTGTGTGATATCATCCTCAGTGTTTATTTTACGCTGTTTTTTATAAGAAAAACAAAAGGACAAAAAAAGAAACTATTAAAAGGGAGGACAGCAAGGTGAGGGAAGCAGCTCTGAAGAAAACTTTTGTTCCATAAAAAATATAACATGATATTCATGCCATAGCATAATGGATGTTTTTACAATAGTCCAGGGATTTGCTGGTCATCTTCCCTGAAAGCCTTAACCAGATCTAACTTGCCTTAATGATTCTCAAAATCAGCCAAGTTTAACCAGTAACTGCCAGCTTAGAAAAGTATGTATTAGATAAAGTGTCATTAAAATGGTATTCATTAAAGGAACATGCCCACAGATAGATTTGCAACATCTCATGCCTTGTATTCATAAGTGTTTGTTTTTGTTTTTTGTACCAGTAGGTAGGTAAGTAGGAAAGAAGGAAAGAAGGAAAGAAGGAAGGAAGGAAGGAAGGAAGGAAGGAAGGAAGGAAGGAAGGAAGGAAGGAAGGGGGAAAGGGGAAAAGGAAGGAGAAATATATTGCAATGAGTTTGCTTATAGGAGATCGTTTGATCTAATTTTTAAAAACATCATTTAATGTCAAACACATGGATTCATATTGATTAGTCTTTCCATTACATCCATAAGGATCCAGTTCATAAGCAGAAATTGAAAATATATCAGCAATTCAAAACTGTGAATCTGGAATCATGGTTTTCAAGCTTTCACTAGGTAATTCAAAAACACATTTCTATCTGTAAACTGTATTAAAAAACCATAACAACGACATAAAGATTTTAAATAGAGAAATAGTGCAACAAGCTCATGTCATGAATAAGTTCCCTCCACATTTTGCAATATAATGAAGTTAATAGCCAGTCCTAAAATCATTTCAGTTTAATAAGTGCAAAAAAAGTGTTGACTTTGTCTTGAATTAAATTTAATATCCTGTTGTTTATACTTGAGACCCCACAATACATAAAAGTCTGTAATATTGGCTTGTTTCAATAAATCAAGCTAAAATTGACCACTTTATAGCTAAGGTACTCATTCTGTAGCCTTGGGTTATCTATATTCTCTGAAATCCTTGGATTAGATCAACTTTCTCTAAAAGTTATCATTCAAATAAAAATGTTAATCTGGTATAAGAACAAAACTATTAAATACACGATTGTAGTGTGTATTTTTGTGTGTCTGTGTGTGTGTGTGCATA